AGTTAAAACTGAGTAATGAGTTCGATCCTCACTGGGTGCCTCCTACTATATACGCTACGCTTGGAAAATCACTATCCACTGTGCCATGTGTCCTTGAGAACATCTGTGTATGAATTTGTGAGCATTATAAACCTAAAGAAGGCCGGAGTGTACAACGGTCCAAATGTTGTAATAAATATGACGACAAAGATGAGGACAATAGTTTGAATAATGTAAATAATGTACATAATACCTCATCTCAGAAATATAGACAGATAATGACAAAAGTTTATTTTGGCTTTGTTAATGTTAATTTCCAACACATAAAACTGGCTATTTGCGCAACGAAAAATAGAAAATTCCTACTGGTGCTATCGAAAATGGCGTTCGTTTATTGCGGTAGGAAAGGCTGTGGTTAGTCGAGACAGGTAGGGTAACACGCAGAAATTACTATATTTGTGGCCTTACTAAAGTAGACCAGAGTTTTGATTGTGGTCATCACTTTCGATCAGCAACACAAAGAATTGGAATCTTTTTTTTTCGTGATTGGAATTGGTTTTCTCCTTCGTCGATACACGAATGTATTCAGAAGTTAGACATTAACGCGACATTTCAGTTGTGTAATTCCTGTAGCGAATACCTTCCATTTTGGATAGGGATATATAAAAGTTTTCTAAATAAATTGTTAATGTAGTGAATGGATATTTGCTATTTGCAAATTATTAGATATTACATAAAACTCTGTCTCTATTTCTCTCACTCACTCAAGGTATCTTACTCGGTGACTAAACACGCGGCACCGTAAAGCCAATATTTCTAGAAACGGAGACTGCAATAAAACTTTATTCTTGTTATCGAGAAATGTGAGACATTAGCCTGAATGATGCAAATATTTATCTACATAAATATTTCAAAATGCAGATACAAGGAAATATAAATAATGAAGATAATAAATTTAAATTGACGAACAGGACGTTTACACACAAGATATATATAACTTGGTTTGGTTTTCCAGGCTCGCGGTTAGCCTATTGGGATTGATGGACGCCAAGCTTTTGATAAGGTATCCGTCAAATAAATGGAAATTCTGATACCGCACCCGCCTCATTGCTACCCTGGGTATCTCGCATCTGCTTGTCTGTCGAATTCTTAACATCATTGGAGTGAGTTGTGGCGATATTGTACAAGCTGAACGCAAGTATAATCTAAGTTCGCGTATTCCTGATATACATACTAGCGTAGAAGCCGCGCTTTAGACTGGCTCCTGCGAAGTCCTTTTTTGGGGTCTTCAGCTTTTTCCCTTCAGCCTCTTATGTACGTAAAAGTTATAAGAATTTAGAAATGATAAAATTATTTTATCTTTATTCGACAACTTAATTCGGCATAATCTTTCTTCATATACGCAAACGATCTCCGTAGTTTGTTTACATTCATTTTGAGAACAGTTTATTTTATTTTCTTTTAAAATCAGCATTCTTTATGATCCGTTCGCATAAAGTGATTGTCAAAAGACATTATGGAATCCGAACTATGTAACATTTCGAATACGTCACAGTACGAGTGCTAGAAAAAGAAAAAAAATGAGCAACATACCGTGCACCACTTAAGTTTTAATTACGGTTAAATTAGACGATTCCCATGGCAATGATATGATAAAAAATATAGTTTTACGCTATACTAGATTTATAAGTTAAATTACTCTAGATGTAGAGCGTATGAAAAGATAAAAAGTGTTTATTGAGGCCAACATTCAGTGTCGACATTCATTTTCATACTTTAACGTAATCTTCAAGCGATATATGTTGAGTTTTTGGCTCGATTATTTATATATGCTGGTCAATATTCCTTCATGAGTAGAAGGTCTATTGTATTATCCTAACGGTTTATGGGTGGGCAGTAACGGTCACATTTCAAATTATTCTTGAGGCTATGGAATAGAAATAATCGAATGTCATTATTTGGAGATTTCCGAATGTAACATTTTTTATTATTTCGCCTAGAAAGCCTTTATTTTATAGAGTTGTTTATTAAAATTTTTAGAATTAATTATTTTATCCTATTGGAAGACGCCTTTCAGTTTGTATACATTTATTTTGCGCATTTTTTTTTAAATTTTCTTCTAAAATCATCATTCTTTATGATCCCTTCAGATAAAGTCACCCTCAAAAGACATTAGGGAATCCGAACTATGTAATATTTTGAATACATTACAGTACGCCTGCTAAAAAAAGGAAAAGAAAATCATATCAGCAACGTATCTTTATCCATTTAAGTATTAATTAGAGTTTAATTAGACAATATCAATTGCAGTTGCGACGAAAAACGAAGTTAAACCTTTCATAAAGAATTGCCTTGTTTAAACGTTTCAGTGAGTTTGATATTTAAATTTAACTTTAAATGAGTTATTTCATTATTTATTAATCGCATGTAACTACAGTAGTTAATACCAATTATTTCAGGTGGTTTATGATTCGCCGAGATCAAAGAACGGACGGACGGACGGACGGACGCACGTGCACTGCGTTTTATTTATGTAGATGTTCTTGATGAATGTGCGGGTACTGTAAATGTTAGCAGTTCGAGACGAGAAATCGGTCGGTGCAGTTGGAATTCCAGT